TCTGCTGTGGGAGAACACACTAATGAATGAGATTGTCCATCTGTGGTTCCAGATGGCAGTCTGATGCCATCTGTACCCTGTTGGAACTTGTAAGGATAGAGTCAGAGTCTGGTGCTAAGGAAAGCCTTCTGGCCCAGGCATTTGAAGGGCTTTCTGATGAGCATTGAAATGGAAACTTTAGAGAACAAAGTAGCTGGCATCTTGGTGTGGTTTGTTTGGTTTTTCAGATCCAGCTCTAATTCATGACAAGTGTGTAGAAGAGGAGGATGGTTTTGAGGGTGCCTTGGACATCTTTCCCCCTGGTTATAGTTCTAAGGCTATAGAGCCACAGCTGTCAGGTGAGCTCTTTCTGCCAGGTTATGGGGTCCTCTAAGAGAAAGGGGTGGAAGGAGGGTAGGAAGTTATTTTCATGTTACAGCTGTCTTGTCTCAAGGAAATATATCAGGAGTAAGAATCATGGGCCGTTGGAACAGCCAGTTTGGGGACTGATGGTTGCTGCTCTTCTCAGGTAAGATGTTGGTCCTTGATTATATTCTGGCGGTGACCCGAAGTTGCAGCAGTGACAAAGTAGTGCTGGTGTCCAATTACACCCAGACATTGGATCTCTTTGAGAAGCTCTGCCGAGCGCGAAGGTAGGGAAGAGCCTAACCAGGCCAGCAAAGAGATGTGCCTCCTACAGTGCCCCTCTAGGAAGATTAAGTATTCTGACTTAGAGATATAGGCCAAGATGTGAGTACATGAGGGACTTACCTGGAGAGGTTTCTTTCCTTTCTACCATGGTCCTGGCTCCATCTCCAAGCAGGATATCCATTGGTCCCTCAGGTTCTCTGCCCTTCCCCCTCAGGATAGAATCCTAGACCCTAGCTCCCTTTGGGAGGGGCTCAGGCTATGTAGGAGAAGCCTCAAGCTTGATTAGTCTAGTTCCTTTGGTAGCATAGCTTCACGGGTTCTGCTTTCTTCTTAAGTACTGATCTTCAGATCCCCCCCCTTCAGGTACTTGTATGTCCGGCTGGATGGCACGATGTCCATTAAGAAGCGAGCCAAGGTTGTGGAACGTTTCAATAGTCCATCGGTAAATGTGCAGCTTCTGTCCACACACCAGCAATACAGTAACATCAGGATTAAGGGTCGGTAGAGAAGCCGTAAGAGGGCTCTGCTTCAGTTTTTTTGTTTTTGTTGATTTGGTTGGAGTAGATGTGGTGGTTGGGTTGGAAATTGACTTTGTAGGTTTGAAAATTGGCTGGCAGGCAAACTAGTTTACCTTTCCACTTGGTCTGGATATGAGATAGAAGCACGACAAAAGAGTTAGCTATGCTGAGCAGTCTCACAGTTTTGGCTGTAAGAGGTTCTCTTTCCCCTGATTCTTTTCTTTTCAGAGCCCTGATTTTGTCTTCATGCTGAGCAGTAAAGCTGGGGGCTGTGGCCTCAATCTCATTGGGGCCAACCGGCTGGTCATGTTTGATCCTGACTGGAACCCAGCAAATGATGAACAAGCCATGGCTCGGGTTTGGCGTGATGGTCAAAAGAAGACCTGCTATATCTATCGCCTACTGTCTGTAAGAATGATCATAGTGGTCAGAGTTGGGGAGGGGTCATGGAACAAGATCTTCAGGGCCATCTTTTTTTTTTTCTTTTGTGTGCTGGGGATCAAACCTAGGGCTTTATGCATGATGGTCAAGTACCACACTACTGAGCTACACTCCTATCCCTTTTTAAGACCATCTTGAATTGTTTCTTAGTTGCTCTCTTTGGCCCCTCTGTAGCAGCAGCACTATGGGTTTAGCCTTGAGCACTTTATTCTGTTCTCCCTCTCCTTTCCACCTGGTTCCTCCAAATGCTTCTTACTGGGCTGTCCAGGTGTTTGTTCACAGGGCACTTTTGTTTTCATACCCAATTTCTGTTGCATCACTGGTCTTGTAATGTCATACTCTGTGTTTCATGGGGCTAAGGAGCGGTAACAGTATTTTCAACCACCATAGTTCTGTCTCATAGTTCCTCTTTCTGTAGCTCATGTTGTCTGACTTGACTACTTTCTTTTCTTTGTTGCTGCAGTCATCTAACCTCTGCTGTGCTCCTAATTCATGATGATTTTGGACACTGGCTATTTCTTTCCCAAATTCAGCAATCATTTTGCCTGACCTTTAGGACCATGCAGTTTTCCAGCACTCTGGCCTTCATGTTTCCTTGACTTTATTTCTCGTGACCTCAAGTCCCCTCATCTAATACTCGTAAGTCCACACTATGGAACTTGTTAGTACCCAAAACTTTAATAACTATTATCCTACTCTCATATCCTATCCTTCAGCTGATACCTACTACATCTACTTTAACCTGCTGCCCCTAGAACCTCTCCCATCCCCCTTTCCCCAGTCTGGCTTGGCTTCCCTTTTTTATCCAGCATGAGCCTTACTGTGTGTCCTTTCAGCCACTCTGTTCCCAGTATCCTTCTACTTGAATCATTTCAGCTGTTTCAGCCTCCACACCAACTAAAACTTGTATTTACAGATTGGGCCCACCACAAATTCATGCTCTTCCTTTTTAGACTAGTCCATATCTTATCCCTTCAGCAAACACTGTAAGCCTTCACCTCTTTCCTCAAGTTTCCTAACTAACCCTGGCTTGTTCTTTTTGAGACTTTTGTCTTCTCCTCAGCGAAAACATAGGCTACTAGGTATGAATTCTCTGAAGTCCCTTCTTTTCTTCTTTTAAGTCTCTATGCCTGATTTTCCCTTCCCATTTCTGAGAATACTCTTCCTCTCTGAGGCTCATTCTTTTACCTCTATTCTAAAGCCCTAGTATAGGTATATTCTACTATGCATCACTTCTACTTGGATTTCTTTTCAGCACTTTATGCATTCCCCTTCTAGATTCTGTCATTTAATGGCACCATTATTCATCTAACCCAAGTCTGGAAATCAACCTACTGAACTATTTTCTGCCTCTTAACCAGATTCCTACCATTTATTACTGATTTTATCTTCTTTTGGTACTTGGGATCGAACTTGGGACCTTGCGCTTTCAAGGCAGGCTTCGGAACCACTGAGCTAAATCCCCGGGCCACTGATTTTATCTTCTTGAAATTTCCTTAATGTAACCCTCCTCTCCATCACTTGCAAAGGTTACAGTCCACTCTCACTTGGATATTTTAAGGAGCTTCCTAATTGTTTTACCATTTCTTTTTTTTTTCTTAAAATACTCAGTCACCTTGTGTTTCTTGGGTCTTAACTCTTTTTTGGGAGGCAAGGTCTCACTATGTAGCCCAGGCTGGCCTCAAACTCAAGGCAATCCTTCTGACTCAGCCTCCTGAGTGCTGGGATTACAAGTGTGCGTCACCACACCTGGCTCTTAACCCATTCTTTACATATTATTCTTTTTTTTTTTTGGTACCGGGGATCGAACTTGGGACCTTGCGCTTGCAAGGCAGGCACCAGAACCACTGAACTAAATCCCTGGCCCTACATATTACTTTCAAAATAAGCTCTCCAAAAATTATAAATTTCCTCTTCATCACTTCAAAGACAAAGTCTTTCAGCCTGGCACCCAAGTTTCTCCAGTATGGTTTCCTCTTTCCCCAGTCCTGCCTCCTTTATCCTCTCTCCTGTAATCAGTCTCAACACACCCTGTACCTCCCTCATTGATTAATTGACTGATTGAGACAGAGTCTCTCATGCTGGCTTTAACTTCTGGGCCCAGATGACCCTCTCTCTAGGCTCAGCTTCCAAAGTAAGAACTTTTCATGATTCTTTAATAGGCCCAGTTTTGTTTTTTTTTGGTACCAGGGATTAAACTCGGGTTCTTGCACTTGCGAGGCAGGAGGCGGAACCACTGAGCTAAATCCCCAGCCCCAATAGGCCCAATTTATTCCTTTGTTTTTATGCTGGGAATGCCTTTGCTCTTCCCATGCAAACTCTGCCATTTTTCAAGATTCAGCTGAAGGATAATCTACTTTTAAGCTTTTTAACACTATTCCACCATCCCTCTTATGAGCCCTGTGTATCCTGTGTAGATATCTTATTGTACAAATTAGTTTGTATGCCTATCCCTTCCACTAATCAAGGAATGGGGTCACACCCAATTTTTTTTTGCTAGCACAGGGCCTGGCATAGACTGGATACCCAAATGACTACTGAATTAAGGAGAACTGGGCTTAATGTGGAGGTCTGAAGCCACTACAGGCAACCTCAGTTCACCCTAAAGGAATCTGCTAGGCCCTGAGACCCTTCATGGTGTAGAAAATAGCCTGAGTAGGTGCACATGCAAGAGTCATGTTCCTAGAAGGTAGACTGGGAAAATGAGGCTAAGCTGAGTACTCCATCCATTCCATCTCTCCTTGAGTGGCTGTACTTTGAACCCATGGGTTTCTCTGCTCCCTGTCTATGGGGATTTCTGAGCCCTGCATCCCTCAACCCTGTTCCCTCAGGCAGGAACCATCGAGGAGAAGATCTTCCAGCGGCAGAGCCACAAGAAGGCGCTAAGTAGCTGTGTGGTAGATGAGGAGCAGGATGTAGAGCGGCACTTCTCTCTGGGCGAGCTGAAGGAGCTGTTTATCCTGGATGAAGCTAGCCTTAGTGACACACATGACAGGTGGGTGGAGAGTGTTTGCCATTATCTCTGAGTTACCTACACAGCATAGAAATGAGATGTGTAGTGACCTCAGCTCTGTCCTCATTCAGGCTGCAGTGCCGCCGATGTGTCAACAACCATCAGGTCCGGCCACCCCCTGATGGTTCTGACTGCACTTCAGACCTGGGTCAGTGGAATCACAGCACTGATAAGCGAGGACTGCAGGATGAGGTACTCCAGGCTGCCTGGGACGCTGCCTCCACAGCCATCACCTTCGTCTTCTACCAGCGTTCCCATGAAGAGCAGCGGGGGCTTCGCTGATAACCAGCTGGTCTAGGTGTAGCTGTTAGAGGAAGGATACAGGGAAAGGGGCTCCCTGCCCCACCATAACCTGCTGAATTTTGTTCTCTGGGAGAAAATCATCAAGAAGGGCTGCATGATGTTTGCCCAAAATTTATTTTATAAGAAAACTTTTTTTTTGGTTAAAAAAAAGAAAGGAATAAAGGTATGAAAGGGACTGAGGCCTGGGAGCAGTGTGGTAAGCCCAGGAGGGAAGAGGCCTGGTAGTGGGCACTCCTACACTTCTCTAAAGCCTGGGTACCTGCTTGAGGGAAAGCAGGAACCCTAGGGCAAGGGGTGGGAACTGTCCTCAGTGACAGTGATGACACTATATCCTCCTGGCCCAGGGTTCCCAGAGTACTGAGTAAGGGGCCCAAAGGCCCTAAACCCAGCTGTGGGAATGCCTTAGCTGGTCTACATCAAGGCTTCCAGGACCTCAGTGCAAGGGAAGATGAAAAAGGAGAAAAAAAGTGACAGAAAGAGAAAGACAGAATTGGTGGTGGGGATTCTGGGCAGCCCATGCCTCAGCCACTATTAGCTGAACATGGGCCTGTGAGGTATGGGCCCCATCACATGGTGCTGACGTAATCTGCAAAGGCTTGGGAGGAGTCCCATGAGTCGCTAACCACGTGGCAGGTGGCCCGGAGCCGCCGGATGGCTTCCCTGGCTGTGACTGCATCCTGGTCCAGCCAGTTCTGGAAGAGGCGCAGGTGACCAAAGGCTCCACGGCCCCAGCGCTCCAGCCGCTTGGCAAACTCCAGAAGCCCATCTGGCTTGATGCAGTTGGAACTGGTAGAGATGAGATGGATTAGATATCCAGGAAGCAACTGATCCCTGGTCTATAGCTCTGTGGGTCCATCCCCCCAATGTACCTGATGTCCAGCTGACAGAGAGAAGAGGAAGAATCCTCTGAGAAAACATCTGCCAGAGCCAACAGGCCAGCATTTCCTGGAGAGAAGGGGGAAAGTGCCCATTACCTCCATCCAAGCATAGAGAACAAGGGTATTGAAATTCAACTCTGGCTGAGGAGAAGCCCCAACACACAAATATCTGTATTCCAATCCCCATTTTCCTAGTGGAGAGGTCTATGCCTCTACCCAGGGAGTGTCTAGGTCAGAGGCCTGGCTTCTCCCCCATCTCCCTCCCTTGGGTCCAGCTCCCACCCAGGCGGTTCCCAGGCAGCCGAAGGCCCTTCAGTGTGGAGTTGCCCTTCATAGCAGCAACCATCTCAGGCAGAAATTGGGCTGGGCGCTTCTCAAACAGACGGCAGAAGGAGAAGGTAATCTCTGTCAAGAGAAATTAAGAGCAGATTTGGATGGCTGCATTAGGATTGGTGCTGCCCCTCCTGCCCCCAGGTGGCCCTAGCAAGGTGTGAACTTTTTGGAGACTCAGAAAAAAGGAATCTCACCAAGATTCTAAGCAGGGCTAGAACTAAATCAGGTTTCAAACACAAGATTGAGCCTTAAGTGTTACTAGAAAGAGGATCTCTCCATGGACAGTCCTCCATTCACATCCTTTCCCTATCTATCCACTGACCATTCTATGCAGAATGGGGTTAGAGAAGTCAATGAGGGGAGCTTGGCACAACACAAGTATTTTTACCCCCACCACCACCTGTACCAGCCCATGACAGGTTAAAAAAAAAATGTGGGGTGAAGTACTCGAAAAGCGAGTAATTTTCCATGCTTGTAGAGGAGCTGAGTTACAGATTTTTAGAAGGAAGGTCATGTAGATTGTGTATCTTTTTTTTTTGTATGGGGGGATCAAACTCAGGGCCTTGCCCTTATAAGGCAGGCATGGTGCCACTGAGCTAAATCCCCGGCCCTTGTATATCTTTTTTACTGTTGAAGAAACATAGTGAAGAAAGGAACTAAGACAGCTCATTCAATGAGACAGCAGAGCCACAAGGAAGACCCAGGAATGCCCAGGTTCTAGATTAGGAATTTACCTTGAAGAGTCAGATTCTGTAGCAAAAAGAGCACCTCGCTCTGACAGTCAGCCAGATTCATGTCATGGAAGCTCAGCCTCTTCAGGGCTAAGTTGTACTCTGGAGAGGAGACAGAGACCATGGGCCTTAGCTTTCCCAAAGAACAGTGCTAGGTCCCCACCCTCCTTCACCATTCTTGCTGGATCCTACCTTTGAGTGTCTGCAACACAAGTCCAAAATCCTGGGGAGAGGCAAAGGTGGCACTATCCAGGGACAGCTGCTGTAGAGAACCTGAGGCCTTCAGAACAGAGCAGAGCAGTGGGGCCGGCTGGGCTCCTCGTGGAAATCCCATCTCCAACTGCTCGAGACAGTTTTCTGGATATGATAGGGAGAGAAGATTCCAGCTGGCTACCTCCCTCATGTCCAATAGCAAGTACAATGTTGGCTTTAAGGGATAAGCTAAAAATACTTTATTCATGCAGTTGTTAGTCACTGTACTTGGTTCTGGGATAGGGCACTAAATACGAGATTTGGTCCTTGTCCTTATAGAGGTTTCAGTCCAGGAAGACTAAATCATTCAGATGTAAGCAAATATAACAGTATATATGCAGCATGGTAGGATAGGTGTATCAGAACTAAGGGGACCTGGTTTGGTCTAGGTTCAGATTGCTTTTCTGAAATTAAACTGCCATGGTCATTCTACTGGGCTTATAGTGGTCTGGGCCTTATCCACCCCAAGGTTATCATAAAGAACAGTAGCCTGTCAAGGGGGAACAGATTCCAGATGAGCCAGAAATGAGTCAAAGGCAGACCTGGAGTGGAGATCCTTCCCCCTTCCCCACACCAATGCACTTGCACATTTGTGTAGCGATACATGTGTGTGTTGTGCTTCACCTGGTATCTCTTCATCTCCAATTATGTGACTGGGGGCCCCAGCATTCCCTGGCACAGCAGGGTTGTCCCGCTGACTTGGATGATCCACACGAATAGAGAGAACCCGAAGTAGGGGCAGGGCTCGAACGATGGCACGTGTCAACTCCAGGATGGGCAGCGGTGAGAATAGGTCACTGAGATGCAGGGCACGGAGGCGGCATCCAGCCTGGCCTGACAGGGCCCTCAGGCTGTCCAGCAGGCGGAAGATGTTAGAGCCCAGGCCTATGGCAGGAAAGATTAAAGCACGTGGGTGTCAGCAGGAGTAACATTCAGAGACAACGTCAAATATTTCTATTCCTGGGCTGAGGATTTAGCTCAGTGGTTCTGCCTGCTCTGCAAGCACAAGGACCCGAGTTCGATCCCCGGTAGGAAAAAAAAGATACACACACACACACACACACATACACTATTGCTTACTCTCGAAAATCTCTTGAGCTTTGGATCAGATTTTTAAAAACTTTTATCTAGATTACTCGTTTATCTTCCTTTTTTCTCAGATAACCAGCACACTCTGAAACTTTGATGCCTCCTATATTAGGCTGTGCCCTCAAGAGGAATCAGGGCATAGTCTCAAAATAAAAGATGTGGTAGGGCTCCATGTGGCTATCAGGAAAAGGATAGGCCCAGGGAGAACCACAGGTCTCCAGACCTCTGAGTTCTATGTAGTGTCCTGAAAAAGCAGGGTCCTGGAAGGTCCTGGGAGGCTGGTTTGAGACCAGCCTAGGCAAGTTAGCTGGACCCTGACTCAAAAAATAACAAAAAATGGGCGTGGTGGCACATGCTGATAATCCCAGCACGTGGGATTTGGAGGATCACTGTGAGTTTCTTGAAGCCAGCCTGTGCTACACAGTGAGACCCAAAAGAAAAACAAAAAGGGTGTAGCTTTGGTATAGCACTTCTGGGTTCTATCTCCAGCACTGCAAGAAGCTGGACCTTGGAGGAAATTTTTTCTTGTTTTTTGAGACAGTCTGGCTATGTAGTTCAGACTGTTCTTGAATTCACTAAGGAGCCCAGGCTAGCCTCAAACTTTCAGTGATCCTCCTGCCTCAGTCTCCCAGTGCTGGTATTACTGGCATGCACCACCACACCTGGCCTAGATTATGCTTGTCAGGCAAATAATATCTTAGAACCCCCTCCACCCCTCATCTCTTGGACTGTGGGCCTCTGTTCATTTATTCAACCAAAGTTTACCCAACACCCACCAAATAGGGTTTTTTGCTAGATAGCAGTGAGCAGCACATACTGTGCTTGCCTGTATTACCTGATAAAAATGTAACAGAAACTGGAGAGGCAAGGTACAATGGAAGTCCAAAAGATGAGTACCTAACATCTAGTCTGGTTTATATCAGTAAAGGCTTCCCAGCTGTCCTAAAGAATATAAAGGAGAATAACTAGCAGAGGAAATGACATATAGAGGCCTGAAGGAGTGGCAGGTTTTATGAACTGGAAAATATGGTAAGTATATAAAGTTTAAGAGGGGAAGCATTCAACATACAGCTACAGTATAGAGGCAAGCAGAAGGGAGAACATGAATTTTTACTGGATGACACAGTCAGATCTGCATATTTAACAGAATGCTTGGTGGGGAATTTAGCTCAGTGAGACTGTGCCTGCCTTGTAAGTGCAAGGTCCTGAGTTTGATCCCTGGTACTGAAAAAATAAAAGAATGCTTGTGCCGTACTGCAGGAAGAGTCAAGAAGAACTGTTGACATGATGGATCAAGGTGAGGAATACTAGTAGCCTGAATTAAGAATGTAGATAAAGAGGAATAAGTGGATTTGAAAAATATAAAAGCAATCTGGTGACTAAATAGATGTAGAGGCAGAATCTTGGTTTCTTTGGGCAACTGATTCAACTGTGATGTTACTCAGAATGAGGATCAGTACAGTGAAGAAGGCATGTCCAGGTTGGACATCAGTCTGGGAAGCTTGTGGGTTATGAAGGGGTAATGTCTGGTGTTAGCAACTTAATCCCCTCTTGGTATTTGGAGGTGTGCTTTTGGGAGGTAATTAGGACTAGATAAGGTCATAAAGGTGGGGATCCCATGATGGCATTAGTGACTTTGAGAGACCTGAGGTAGCACACTTGTGTGATGCTTTCCTTATCAGGAGGCAGCAAGGAGGCCCTCATGAGATGCTGGTATTATACTCTGACTTTCTGGTCTCCAGAACCATGAGCTAAATAAGCTTTTTTTTTTTTTGGTACCAGGGATCAAACTTGGGTCCTTGCGCAGCAGGCGGCGAAACCACTGAGCTAAATCTCTGGCCCTAAATAAGCTATTCTTTATAAATTACTTGGTTTTAGGATCTTGTACTGAGGACAGAAAACAGACTAAGATAGCAATCTTAAGGGCTGTTTAGGAGTCATACATGCCACTTTTCATAGGGAGGGCTAGTCTCTAGTGGTCAGAGATTAGTCTTCTAGGATTTAAGGCAGGAGAAATCAGACTTAGGGACTTAGTGCATAGGAGAGTGAGATATTAAGGGTGTAGATAGGTGACTACAGAGTTTTCTTCCTCCTAGGTTTGTGGTTCTCAAACTAAAGTATGTTAGAATTATCTGGAAAGCACGATAAAATGCCAAAGTCTGTATATTATTTAGTTGGATTGGGGTAGGACCCATGCATCTACATTTTTATTCTCTATGTATATTTTTTTTGATACCTGGGATCAAACTCAGGTCCTTGCGCTTGCGCAGCAAGCAGTGAAACCACTGAGCTAAATCCCTGGCCCTACATTTTTAAAAACTCCTGAAGTGATTCTAACTTACATCAAAGTTCAAGAAACTTTGATTTAAAGAGTTTGCTGATGCCTGTCTAGAGAAGGGTTTTGGAGACACTACGGGATGATGGATAAGTGTACCCAGCTGGATAAATGCATCAGGAAGTTCAGGAGAAAGATTTGGGATAATGTCCTAAAATGGAGAGTTGGCCACTGAAGCTACAGGAATGGGTGAAATCCAGAAAGGCTGTGTAAAGTAAGAGACCTCTAAGGAACTCTGAACTTAGGAGATAAGTGAAGGTCATGAGTGGTGGCGCACACCTGTGATCCTAGTACTAGGAGACTGAGGGGAAAGGGTTGCTGCAAGTTTGAGGCCAGCCTGGACTATAGCAAGACTTTATATAGTCTGAAAAAAACAAAACAAAGGTGTGGGGATTTAGCTCAGTGGCACTACTTGACTGGTAAGCGCAAGGTCTTGAGTTTGATCCCTGGTACTGCAAAAAAGCAAAAACAAAATAAGGGCCAGGGATTTAGTTCAGCGGGGCCATGCCTGCCTTCCAAGAGCAAGGTCCTGAGTTCCATCCCTGTAGCACCCCCCCCCCCGCAAAAAAAACCAAAACAGGAAAGGAGATAAGTAATGTTCAAGAGGAAGGAGATTTTTCAATAATGAAAGTTTTTCACAAAGAAGATAATAGCAAAACTGCCAAGGGTTTATGTAAGATGAGGATTTAAAAGTACATATTGTTAACCTGAACTAGATAGTGTGAGACCTTTTCTCAAAACACACACACACACACACACACACACACACACACACAGTATTTATGTTGCATCTAGTAACAAGGAAGCTAGAGTAAGCTGTGAGTGAAGTAATGACTGAAAAACATGAGAAAAAGGGATAGTTAATAAGGGATAAAGGGAGATAATGCTGGTTGTCTTTGGTGGAGACCTGATTGATGTGTTTTGTAGTACTGTGGATTGAACCCATGGCCTTCACTCTGACCTGTATCCCTACTTCCACCTCTTTAAAAATTAATTTTTGACTGGGTGAGGTGGTACATGCTTATAATCTCAGCACTTGGGAGGCTGAGGCAGGAGGACCATCTCGAGTTCCAGGCCAGCCTGGGCTACATAATGAGGCCAGCCTGAACCACTTATCAAGCCTCTGTCTCAACCCCTTCTCCCCCAATTATTATTTTTTTATTTATGTTTTTTTGCTTTCGAGGCAGGTGTGGGAACCACTGAGCTAAATCCCCAGCCCCTCCCTCAGTTATTTTTTGAGGCAAGGTTTCACTAAGTTGACCAGGCTGTAATCAAACTTGCAAAACTCCTGCCTCAGGCTCCCAGAGTGATAGAATTATAGGCATGTGCCATTATGCCCAGCAGGGTTAAATTAGTTAATATATCAAGAATAATTAAAATATGCAGATATACTTCAGAGTACATAAAAGTAATTACTAAGGCATTTGAGACATAAGCTTCCCTATTAAGTTGGAGGTAAGGATCTGGAGCACAAGTGGAAGAATTAGCCTTAGATAAGATAATCTCCATTGTGAAAGAAAAAAGATGAATGCAGAAGTAGAAGTGTTGATAGGCTGGTTAACAATAACTTGAAGGAGTTCATATGTGATAGCTTCAATTTTCTTTGTGAAGTAGGAGGTGAGGTCATTTGCTAAAAAAAAGGAATTAGAAGTGGCAGAGTAGGAATAGGAGCTGATGTTGCAAACAGGGTTCTCATGAGGTTGGTGACCCTGAATGTACTGTAGGCACCATTTGCACAGCTGTGATTTTCTGTAGAAGTACTTAGCAACTTAGGCAGATTGCTTGGGTTCAACACAGTTGAAGTTTTGCTAGCTGGGCGCAACCAGGTGGGAAAGACAGGCCTGCCTGCCTGCCTTACAAGTTGCTGGTCTGATTTTTTTTAAAAAGTTCCATACCTTCTCATCTTAACAGCTGTTTTGATATGACAGTTTAGTGGAGTGATGGTGAACCTTTTAGAGCTTTCAATGATACAAACAGCCTGCTACGGCACATGTACTGTAGGTTTGCCACCACTGATCTAGTGGGATTTAACCCCAACCCTGGTGGGTCTGCATACACAATCCTGTCCCACTTACCCTTGAACTGTTTCTCCTGTATCTTGCTGACTTATTTCTCTGCCTCTAAGGACCCTTGGCTTCTACCAATCTAGCCTACAGAACTCAAGTTCCTCTCCTGACTCTGATGGCTGCTTTCTGTGAGCCTTCTGCCCTGCCCTGTGAGGCATAGAACCACATTTCCAGTTTCCTGATCATACTCCAGCTTCCCTCTTAGGACTGAGTGCTGTTGGGAAATCCAAGCCCATCCCTGCCCCTCCAGGGTGCTCACCATTGTAGGAGAGTGTGAGGCTCTCCAGAGACACCCAGGAGCTCAGCAGGTGGCACAGTGTCAAAGCTGCCTCTGTGGAGAGGGGAACTGTGAATAGCTCCAAAGTGGAGATGCTGCGGAATCTTTGGGAGGCTTCCAGGGCTGGGAGCCCCAGGCAGCTGGGATCTGATCCATCCAAAGCTCCACAAGCCACTTCCCCAATCTCCATCTCTTCACCATCTTCCTTTTCACCAGCAACAATAAAAACAAAGTCATACAGGTCTTCAGACTCTGCACCAGATCCCTGACGAGCACGAGGACCCTTCTTCCCTGCAGCTCGTTTGAAACGCTTTAAGGGCTTAGGTTGTGGGGCTGAGTTAGCTGGAGCCCTTTTGGATGAGGCTGTGGAAGAGGAGGCAGAGGCAGAAGAGGTGGCAGCCAGAGTAGAAGGTGGCCGCTTGGTACCAGAAGCCTCATGGGAAGTGGCTGGAGGGTGCAGCCCTCTCTTAAGGTCTGTCCCGCTTGCTATCAGGCTCTCATGTGTGCTCCGTCGTGTTACCCGAGTGGCAGGTGCAGCTCTGGGCATCTGCTTGGTTTCACTCTTTCTCCGGGTAGCCATCAGGGCTGCAGCACAACGCTCGGCAGCATCCCGGCGAGGCCGGCGTGAGCCCAGCAGCAGAGACCCTTCATTTCGGGATGTGGCTCGGCCTCGGGAAGCCTCTCCACAGAGGCGGCAGGGTGGGCCACCAGGGCCTGGTTGCCAAAAGCCAGCACTCATGGTGAGGATAAGGATGAAAAGTGCTGACTCAGGCACAGGCCAGGAGTACAGCGACACTTGGCTGACAGCGCCATGGTGAATGAGCTGATGCAACAGCTGCCGAAGTGACTGCTGAGCAGCCACATCAGAGAACAGCAGGTGGCGGAACTTGAGGGTGTGCAGGGAACTGGCCAGGGTCTCCAAAACCCTGCGGTTGGGCTCAGCCACCAACTCTGTTGCACCCTGCAGCATGTTGCAGATGGTGAGTTGCCGGACATGACGAGAGCTATGCAGAAGAGGTGAGAAGCGCTGGTCGCAAAGACGCCTGTCAGAAGACACATCAATGGTACCACGTAGAACATGGGAAAAAAAGGCTTCCATAAACTTGGCTCGCCAACAGGTCACACTCTGAAAGCAGAGAACATGCCAGATAGCTATAATCCTGTGCAATCCATATTCATGAAACTCATCTCCATTTCCTTTGTCCCCTTCCTCTTTGTACTAATAACAAGCTATTTACTGAGCACTCATGAGTCAGGCAACATTTTAAATTATGCAAATTCATTTAATCCTTACATCTTTGAGGTGCATATTACTATTATTATTTTACAGGTAAGAAAACAGGTATCCAAGCTGATGAATAAAAACCATTTGTTTAGTTTTTCTTTGCAGGGCAGCACTATAATGTGCATGCCTGAGAAATATGGCAGAATTTGTATTCTATGTATATCAAGTGCAGAACTGTATTTCTGATGGCATCTGAAGAGTGGAACCTTTCTTTTTTCTCTCTTTCTCTCCCATGTCCCAGTGCTGGGAGTCAAACCCTCGGCCTTAGAATGCTAGGCAAGCACTCCACCACTAAACCATACCCCCAGCCCAAGAATCTTTTTTTTTTTTTTTTCGGTACCGGGGACTGAACTCGGGTCCTTGCACTTGCACAGCAGGTTATGAAACCACCAAGCTAAATCCCCGGCCCTAGAATCATTTTTTCATTCTCACAGTGTTCTAAAATTTTTTAATCAATTGACAAAAAGATATGAACTTGAAAAAAGACACAGAGGGCCAGGGATTTAGCTCAATGGTTCCGCCACCTGCCTCGCAAGTGCAAGGTCCCAAGTTCGATCCCCGGTACCAAAAAAAAAATAGAGGTTATCACACAGGTAAGTGGTAATCAAGATTTAACCTGTAAGGGCTGGGGATTTAGCTCAGTGGTTTTGCTGCCTGCTGCTCAAGCGCAAGGACCCAAGTTCGATCCCCAGTACAAAAACAAACAAAAAAAAAGATTTGACCTGTAATCCCAGCACTCAGGAGGCTGAGGCAAGATGATCACCAAGAATTCAACACAGGCCTGGGCTATATAGTTCAAGGCCAGCCTGAGCTACAGCACAAGACCCTGTTTTCAAAATAAAATTTTTTTAACCCAGGAAATCTAGTTCAAGACCATTCTTTTGCCATAATGTCTCTCACGACTGAGTCACTCACTGCTGTAAATTCTGTATTTTTTTTTTTTTCAGAACCTGATCTCAACTTTTCAGACCCTTAAGACCTCACACAGTACGACTTCATTAGCTTCCTGGTTGTTCTGTGTCCCCTTTTCTTCTCATACTACTCTGCACAAGCTCACTGAAGTTCTTGTAAAATGCTACTTTCATTAAATTCTGCTTTAAAACACCCTGTCTCCCTAGTCTAGAGTTAATTTGAATTTCTTCAGCCTGGCAACAAAGTCCTTCCACAAGATGACCTCTGCTACCTGAGAAAGACCTCCTCTCCTTGAGCCTGGACCTCTGCACTAAGCTACATCCTCAGCCCTTTTGTTGATGGTTTGAGACAGGGTCTTGCTGACTGAACTCACTACGTAGCCCAGGTTAGCTTGAGACTAACAATCCTCCTGCCTCAGCCTCCTGAATGCTTGATTACTGGCCTGTGCTACCACGCCCATCCTTTTGTTTTGAGACACTTGTCTAACTAACTTGCCCAGCCCAGGCTGGAACTTGTGATCCTTCTGCCTAAGCCAAAGGTATGCCCATCTAAGCCATGCCCAGCTATATTCCCACATCCTGATCATGGGAATGCTTTGACCTGGCCAAATTGGTTACCTCACTGACCCAAACCTTTCTTCTGACATCTGCTAGAAATGGTTTCTGCTGGTGGACTAAACAGATTTCCTAACAAGTCACTGAGACTTTCTTGTTGGAATTTCTCTGACATTCTATTCAAGTCTAAGATGTTGGTACACTATTCCATGGTGTTTGGGCTCTTTGCCAATGTACATGTCTTCTCCCAACTATTAGGAATCCTAGGGAGCATGAACCAAATTTAAGGTTTGTTTTCTCTAAGGTGAGTTATTTGTTTTATTTTTTGGTACTGAGGATCGAACTCGGGTCCTTGCGCTTGCGCAGCAGGCGACAAAACCACTGAGCTAAATCCCTGGCCCGAGTTGTTTTGATGGACATGTGATGTCACACTACCCTGATATGTTTAGAACTTGGAATGCAGTTCGTTTTAAACCTTTACTGCAGGGCCAGGATGTATCTCAGTGGCACTGCACCTGCCTGGCAAGCGGAAGGTCCTGAGTTCGATCCCTGGTACCACACACATACACATACAAATAACATACCAGATACCCAAATTTAGTGATTATATAGGGGACCTCTGAGGTAAAATACAGGCATCTTTATTTTTTAAGACTTTACCCCAGATGATTCTGATATACACTACAGGTTAAGAAGTACTGCTACTAAGAAGGGCACACAACAAAGAGAGGTACCAAGCTGAGAGTTCCTATTTTAAGATCACTCTTTTTTGGAGACAAGGTCTATGTAGTTCAGCCTGAACTTGAACTCACTATGTAGGCTAGGCTGGCCTCAAACCGACAGTAAGTTTCCTGCCTCAGCCTCCTGAATGTGTGTGCCATCATGCCTGGCTTACAACCACACTTAAGTCAGGGCTGGGGATTTAGCTCAGTGGTGCTGCAGGCCCAAAGTCCTGAGTTCAATCCCCAGTACCCACCCCCCAAAACAAAAAACAATCCACACTTAAGTTCTCATCTCCTAAGGTACAAGAGACTTCAGTATGGGTTCCCAGCTCTGCACTGTGCTTTGGGCCTCTTCTTCTACAAGGTGTGGTTACCATTCTCTCCATAGGATTGTGCAAATATCAAATGAGCACAAGGCGAAGCACTTTAGTTTTTGATTTGTTTTGGTTTTTTGAAATGGTTTCACTATGTAGCCCAGGCTGACCTCAAACTAGCAGCAGTCCTCTGTCAGCCTCCTGAGTGCTGGAATTAAAGGCTTGCACCACCACACCCAGCTACACCTGAGGGTCTTAGCGGGCGTTGGTTCTCTCCTTCCTCAGGCAAAAGTGGCATTTCTTTGGCCCTAGTTAATTCCCTAGGCTCTGCCTGCTAAGTTTTCATGTCTGAGCTACCTGGGTGGTAGCAAAAGAAGGGCCTAGCTTCCCAGCAGGAGGGCATTAGGGAAACGGAAAAAATAGCTTGCACTCAGAAGTCTCCTCAGCTTTTTGCAGTGCTAGGAATTTAGCACTGCAGGGCCCTGTGGATGCCAGGCAAGTGCTCTACCACTGAGCTACATCCTCAGCTCCTCTGTTTAGTTTTGTTTTGTTTTTCTGAGACAGGGTCTCACTATGTAGTTCAGGCTGGTCTTGAACTCACTATAGCCCAGGCTGGCCTCAAACTTGTAGCGATCCTCCTGCCTCAGTCCCCCAAGTGCTGAGGTTACAGGTGTGCAACAGTAACCCCGCTCTGTTCAGTTTTGAGTGCAGGCACCTGTCTTAGGTTCTACCTCCAGCACCTCTCCTACAGATGTTGGCCACATACATGTTCTTGAAAAGTACTTGCAGATAATGCTAGCAAGTCTTCACCTAAACAAGTGAGACAGTCAGACAGTTATAAAATCTGGGCCTAAAGATTGGACAAGGCTGTAAACTAAGATTGTGTGATTATTTCTGCATAAAATGGATGAAGAAACAGGTTAGAGAAGTAAATACTGGATTTTTCCAGACATGTTAATGAAGACATTGGGAGAGAATGTTTAAAGTTGAACACTCCAATGTGATAAACTGCAGCAAACAGCATGCCATAATAATGAGGAACGTGTACTTCAGAGCCAGACTGCTTTCATTTGAATCCTGGGTCTGCCTTTCACTAACCATAACTATAGGCATGTTACTTCACCTCTCTGCCTGAGTTTCATCATCTATAAAGTGAAGGAGATAACAATAGCAATACCAAGCTGCTGTGAGGTTAGGACAGCCAAAACTCAATGGCTTCTTTCTCATGAATTAGTGCACAGCAGACAAGTGATCCCCCCACTACCACCACCTGTACGGGGAAGTGAACCCAGAGCCTTCACACTGAGCTACATGCCTAATACTTTTAAAGGCAAGGTCTAAATTGCCCAGGAGGGCTCAAACTTGTGATGCTCCTGCCTCAGCCTTCCACAGTGCTGGGATTATAGGCCTGCCATACCAACAGATGGCTGCAGAATGATTTAAGCACTTTGTTTTACATAAAGGTAGGGGAAATGAGGCACTGCCCATGAGGTGAAGTGACATTTGCCCACCAACACAATCCTTGGCCCATCTTCAATGGGTGGCAGTTCAGGCACTGGTGGGGCAGGGAGAAGTGTTTGTACAAACTAGGGAGGGCTAAATATTTTTTCTGTTTTTTGAGTTGGGATCTTGCTGTGTTGCCCAAGCTACTGTTGAACTTGTGGGCTCAAGTGGTCCCCCTGCCTCAGCTCCAGGTTTTGTACCACCATACCTGGCTGATTATATCTACTTGTTAGAGCCAGAAAATATTCACAGATTATCTATTATACATTGTTTTTTGATAACATATTTTCAGGAAGATAAAAGAAGCAACCCAATGGGCTGGGGATTTAGCTCAGTGGTTCCGTCGCTTGCCTCGCAAGCGCAAGGACCCGAGTTTGATCCCTGGTACAAAAAAAAAAAAAAGAAGCAACCCAAAACTCACACGTAAACCAATGCTGGAGTTTGTATGTATATGTACATGTGAATAGTTATGGATATTTGTTTTTGCAACATTGAGACATTTTTGAACAATTTCAAATGCTGGGCCTTTTTTGTTTTGTTTTGTTTTGTTTTGGGTACCGGGGATCGAACTTGGGACCTTGTGCTTGCAAGGCAGGCAGTGGAACCACTGCTGAACCACTTTTGAACATTATACCACCATGATTTAAATGTTTTTAGTTTTGTTTATTGAGACTGGTCTATAATTTTATTATTTTGAAAATATATCATATTACCAGTCCCCCTATTATTGAATATATACTTTTTTGTGGCCTTTTGATATTAAACTTAGCTATAATGAACATCTAGAAATATTTTTTATGAATATCACAATTTTGTATTTTTGCTTTTGGTCTCACTATATATAGAATCCAGGCTGGCTTCGGGTGTGCTATGTAGCTCCTGGATAGCTTCATATTCAAGATCTTTCTGCTTCAGCCTCTTGTGTGCTGGGATTACAGGCATGGGCCACCATGCCCAGCTGAACCCAGGACCTTAGCACTGAGATATATCCCCAGATTTTTTTTTTTTAATTTTTATTTTTGAGACAGGACCTTGCTAAGTCATTAAGTTATCCAGGCTGGGCTGGAAGTTGGGAACTTTAGGCCTCAGCCTCCCAGAGTGTTGGGATTAATAGGTATGAACCACTGTGTTTGGCTCTGACTTCAATTTTGATATTCTAAAAATTCTAAGAAGCAGATTTTTTTTTTTTTTTGAGACAGTCTTTCAGTTCGGGCTGGCCTTGAATGCTTGGTGATCCTCCTGCCTCAGCCTCCTGAGTGTTGGGATTACACGTGTGGGCCACCATGCCCGGCTAGAAGCAAAATTTCTAGTTAAAAAATTTGAGTATTTTTAAGACTCCTGAAAAATATCACCAGATTGACCACCCAGAAAGTTGCAACAATTTCTATTCCCACCAATGTAACAGGTGTAAGTGCAACTTTCACCTACCCCTGGCCAACCAGGGGCATGAATTTAAAAAAGAAAAAAGAAAAGAAGACTTTACTAATATGGGGTAAAATTTTACTTTCCTTTTTTTTGGTACCAGAAACTGAACTCAGGACCTTGGGCTTGCCAGGCAAGCACAGTGCCACTGAGCTACATCTTTGGCCCTTCTTTTTATTTATTTATATTTTTTTATAGTACCAGGGATTCAACTCAGGACCTTGCACTTGCCAGCCAGGCATGGTGCTATGAGCTACACCCTGGGCCCAGCCCTTCTTTTTTTGTTTTTTGGAGACAAGGTCTCACTATGCAATTCAGGCTGTCTTTGAATTCATTGTGTAGCCCACATTGCCCTGGAACTAGCAGCGATCCTCTTCCCTCAGCCTCCAGAGTGCTGGGATTATAGGCACACACCTCTACACCCAGCAGAGGTTGAACATTTTTCAATTTATTGGAAATTTTTGTGTATTTGTGACTCTTCCAAATCTTTAATTTTTTGTTGTTTTTTTTTGGTACCAGGGATCGAACCCGGGACCTTGCGCTTGTGAGGCAGGCAGTGGAACTACTGAGCTAAATCCCTGGCCCCAAAAATCTTTAATTTTATGAGAATGTTCATCTTATTCTTTGTATCTTTCTGTTTTTTGTTAGTTTTTTTTTTGGTCTTGTTTTTTGGTACTGGGGATCGAACTCGGGACTTTGCACTTGCGAGGCAGGCAGTGGAACCACTAAGTTAAATCCCCAGCCCGTATCCTTCTGTTTTGCAAATTTTGTTTTTGTTTTTTGAGACAGAGTCTCCCTATGTAGTTCAACTGGCCTTGAGCTTACTATGTAGCCTAGGCTGGCCTCAAACGTGCAGTGATCCTCCTGCCTCAGCCTCCTGAGTGTTGGGATTACAGGCATGTGCCACCATGCCCTGCTTGTTTTTTTGTTTTGTTTTGTTTTTTGAGACAGGGTCTTGCTATGTACTTCATGCTGGCTTTGAATTCACTATGTAGCCCAGGCTGGCCTCGAACTTGCAGCAATCCTCCTGCCTCTGCCTCCTGTATATATCTTTTTTTTTTTTCCAGTACCAGGGATCGAACTCTTAAAATTTTTATATCGTTAAATAAGCACATATGTCATTTTTGTCTTTTTTATTGTTTTTTTCATTACAGTGCTGGGGGTCAAACTCAGGGCCTTTTGCACAATATATAAATGTTCTACCACTAAACTAAATCTCTAGCCCCAAATTTTCTTTTTTGGTTTGCTGATTAATTAGCACTATCTCTATCCTGAGATTAGCCATCATATCACTTTTATTCTTTTTTAGTTTTATACTTTTATTTTTTACAGTTTAATCTTTAATCCATATAGAAATTACTTGAGCATATTGTGAAGTAAAGCTCTAACTTAATTTTTTCCAAATGGTTAACCAATTGCTTGAGAACCATTTATTAAATCATCCTTTGTTTCTCCACTACTTTGTCATCAGAATACCTCTTGTATTGTATAAAAATCATATATGTTAGTACCACAATATCTGCAATACTCTTGCTTTATATAAGCAGTATCTCCTGGACCTAGCAAGTGCCTGGAAATGAGCAGGCACTCAATAAATGGCTTCTTGCCCCCCTTCTTCTTTTGTGGTTCTTGGGATGGAACCTATGGTCTCATGCACACTAAGCAAGTGTTCTATCATTAAGCTAAACACCAAGCCCCTCAATAAGTACTTCTGGGTTGTGAGATGAAGGTTGTTATGTTGCAAAAGTGGGAAGCAAAAGAAAACATCTAGAGTAGCTAATGTTCTAAGTCAGGATCTCTGCCTCAGTGACTGTTTGGCCACCAAATGTCCTGAAATGCTTTGAACTAAGATAAGATAACAAAGTTTTGTTCAAAAAGCTTAAGATAATGTTGGACAAAGAAAGCTTTCTCCAAGCGATAGATGCCACAATTTTTGTCATGGGCTTGTCAACCACACTGTGAAATACTGAGACAAAGTGAATCTGATGTTTCTTTAAAGATAGCAGAAAGCTGTTATGCTTTTCTAATATTCTTGCACCCAATTTTCCTCATAAGGGCTACTGTCTGTTGGGCCTCAGTGTCCTCATCCAAACTCGCAGGGCTAGAGTCGAGATCTAGAAGTGGAAAAGCTGAAGGATATTGGGCTGAATGTTACTAAACCCAATGTATTACTAGAAATTAAAATCTCCCCTTAAATTTCTCTCCTTCTCTCTGTTCATTTGGCCTCGTTGAGCCCACCTCAAATATACTTTCTAAAACATTTTCTTGCTCTCTTCTCCCTCTATCTCTGTTTTTCTCTATCGCACCACTTATCCTATCATCACTGATCTATTTGTAGATTTCCTTATTAAACTGGTAGGTTGTTAAGATTAGGGAGTGTGTATGTACTTTGTTTTTGGTTTTTTTTTTTTGGTACTGGGGATTGAACTCGGGTCCTTGCGCCTGCACAGCAGGCGGCAAAACCACTGAGCTAAATCTCCAGCCTAGTGTGTGTGTACTTTGGATATCTGGGATAAAATTTGTTAAGTGGTTTTAGTTAATGTTTATTGAACTAAATCTGTCATCTAATTATGGAGTAGCTAAAGAAATTCTGCTTAAATAAGAGCTCCAGTCATTTAAATCTGAATTTTTTTTTTTGGTACTGGGGATCAAACTCAGGACCTTGCAAGGAAGGCCTGACGCCACTGAGCTAAATCCCTGGACCTTAAATCTGAATTAGTGACTAGTAGAATCTTATGGCTAAAAGGAGCCATAACATCAGTCCTGTCAATCCCCTTTTAGAATGCTGAATTCCCTGTACAACATCCTTTAATCAAGTAGTTATCTAGACTTTCTTTGAACACTTGGTAATGGGAACCATATTAGTTCTGGAACTAGCTTGTTTCATCACCAACAATTATAAAGTTTAAAAGTTTTACCTTTAGTTTAGCAAGAATATGTCCTCCTTTAGCTTCCACCTAGAACAAGTCTATGAATCCCTCATTCATGTAACAACCATTCATGTATTTCAAGGTGGTTCATGTTTCTCAAGTCGTCTCTTTTTCAGGAATAACATCTCATCTTCCAAATGTGACTCACGTGATATGGTTTTGACGACTTTCTCCATATTCCAGGGATAGATAGCCTGACTAGTGCAGAGCCTGGCAGGACTATAGTCCCCCTTGTCCTTCAGCTTATATTATACTAGTTCATACAGCTTAGGTCATCACTATGTAGTTCAGGCTGGCCTTGAACTCACTATGTAGTCCAGGTTGGCCTGTAGACATCCTCCTACCTCACCCTCCCAAGTACTGGAATTACAGGTATGCACCACCACAGCAAGCCTTAATCTTTTTTATTTATATTTATTTATTTATTTATTTTTGGTAACCGGGATTAATCTTTTTTATATGAGCTGCTGCTAAGCTGGACCTCTTTACCCCCTTACCTATGGGCCATGCAATTCAAATATTTTTTGACTCAGTGAAGAGTTGGTTTACTGTGTTAATTTCACTCTGTTAGATTTGACCATTGGTCCAACTCTGTAAAGAATTCTAGGAATTATGGCTCTCTTATTCATTGTGATCATACCTTTCTCTGTTTTGTGTTCCCATGCTAAATGGGCAAGAAGCTTATGACAATACATCTCAGCCCTCCTCCCAAATTCATTCCATTCCTGTGGCGGTACTTTAACAGTTCCCAGCTTATGTTTGTGTGCTATTCCTGCTCTCACTGTACAAAATTAGGCTAGAGTTCTACCTGGTTCCTTAAACTTACTTCCAAACTGGAAGGTCTTGTCTTCATCAGCTCATCCCAGAGTCGGCGCCAGATAGCCTGAGTGGAGAGGCCTGTAAGGAGAATATCACACTTACTTGGCTGCTTGTTGGCCACCATAAGTGAAGTACACCAGCCATTCATCTTGTCCTCTGGCTTCATAGGAACAATGTGGGCAGATTTAAGAGTCCTAGGTCTAAAGACAGACTGCATGTGTTGGAACATCAGCAAATCTATAATCTTGGGCAAGTTACATAATTTCTGTAGGGCCAGGGATTTAGCTCAGTGACACCACGCCTGCCTTGCAAGCACAAGGTCCTGAGTTAGATCCCTGGTACCAAAAAAAATTTTTTTCTCTGTACTTCAGTTTCTTCATCTGTAAAATGTAGTTAATAGCTATCTCATAGGGTTGTTGAAAGGATTACATGGGTTAATGAATTTCTCTGGGCAAATAACCACAACAATATTTAGCACATCAGGGTTAGATAAATGTCAGCTATAACAGATTGTCCAAAAAGAGGGAAGAGAAGTAGCTTGGTAAAACTAAGATTCCTAAGATCTGGGTTCTAGTTTTGCCTTTGCTATTAATTATGGTGTGCCTATTTTTCACTTTTATCAGAATAATAAGGATCACATCTTGCTTGGTGTTTCACAGGACACCGTAGGGAATCATATCAGAATGTAGGTATGAGGATACTTTTTTTAAAAATTTTTGATACCGGGGATTGAACTCGGGACCTTGCACTTTCAGGGCAGGCAGTGGAACCACTGAGCTGAATCCCTGGCCCATGAGGATACTTTCTGACAAGCAGAAAGTTCTACACAGGCATCAGATGTAATATTTACCTGAAGAACATCATGGTGCCTTGCTCACAATCACAGAGAGACAAAAAGACACTCACCTTTCTTGAGGGCAGTTTCCTCAATCCTCTCCAAGTAATATATATTGAGCAGAGGTAAGATGCTTTGAAGTATTGGGCCTGGGAGGGCTATAAAAATCAAAACACAAAGTTTACTTTTCCCTCCAACGGTTCCAAGAATCACATACTTTACTGGAAAGGAAAATAGAAGGGTAGATTTTTCATTTGATAAATGTAACCTAAAGAAACTAAACTAAATCTGTTCTAAACTTTGGTCTACTTCAGCTACTGGGTAGCTGGAATTTCAAGGGTAAGGGTAAGACAATCCCACAAAACAAGCTGACGTGCTCATAATGAACACATTCTGCATTAAAAAGGTTCTACTAAATATGTGCAATAAAAGCATCTTCATAATCTGCCCAAATAACTTCAGCTCTTTTGTGTCCTATAAACCACACTAAACAACTTTTTTCACTTACCTAAAATAGTATGCTTCTTTCTGCCTTTGTCATGCTGTTCTCTCAAACAGTAATGTCCTTGTCACTTTCAGCATATCAACTACTCATCTTTCAACTATAATAAGCCTTTTATTAAGTCTTTCTGAATTCCCTTCCCATCTTCCAGACTGCCCATTTTCATGTATTGGGCCAGCACTATACCCTGAATTAATACTTTTCTATAAAGAATGGAGGCAATTAGTCTCTATACTCTAAATTTCCTGTATCTTAATAAACAAAACCAGGGGCCAGGGATTTAGCTCAGTGGTTCCGCACCTTGCCTTGCAAATGCAAGGACCCGAGTTCGATCCCTGGTACCAAAAAACAAAAACAAAAAACCAGCTTTTGGCAACCTTTTTAGTTCTTAGAAGGATTACAGTATAGTGACTAAGGGGTTTAATCTCTAGACTTGGGCAAATCTGAGTGAAACCTTGCCTGATCAGTCAATTGTGAGTTCTTTCTTTTTTTTTTTTGGTACCGGGCATCAAACTCGGGTCCTTGCCCTTGCGCAGCAGGCGGCGAATCCACTGAGCTAAATCCCCAGCAATTTTGAGTTCTTGGAAAAATTATTTAATCTCTTTAAGCCTCAGTTTCCTCAATTTAAAAATAGAGATAGCAATGACCACTTCATGATAAATGACCACATTGTAAAGATTAAAGGAGAGCATGCTAGTAATGTAGTTAAAACAATGCCTGGTCACAGTAGGCTGACTAAATATAGGCTATTATGTTTATCTTGTCATTAGCATCTCTGACTTATCAAGAACAAGTCTACTCGCAAGTGGAAGATCCCGAGTTTGATCCCTGGTACCAAAAAAAGAGAACAGGTCTAAGATCTTAGAATACGGAAAAACTATTCTGCAATCTCCTTTTGGTATCGGGGATCGAACTTGGGACCTCGAGCTTGCAAGGCAGGTGGTGAAACCACTGAGCTAAATCCCCCGCCCTCTCTTTTTTTTTTGAGACAAGGTCTGGCTTTGTAGTTCAGGATGACTCTGAAGTCACTAGCCCAGGCTAGCTTTGAACTCTCAGGGATCCTTCTGCCTCTGCCTCCGGAGTGCTGGGATTATAGGAGTTCGCCACCATGCCTAGCCCCTCTCCATGCTTTTTTTTTTTTGGTACCGAGGATTGAACTCGGGACTTTGAGCTTGCAAGGCAGGCCCCGGAACCACTGAGCTAAATCCCCGGGGGCCCCCCCTCTCCATTTTTTTTCAGACAGGTTCTTCTTTGCTTTTTTTCCAGCCTATCCCTTTCTTTAGTGCTTCCTCCCGCCAACTGGGACCCATACCCAGTCCTCTCTCCCCTTCTAGCTGGGAGGAACATCCCAGAACCTCCAGATGGATACAGCCAGACGCCCCCTGCCTTCCATGTTTCCAGAGCTTTTCTGAGCTCCTGCTCAACTCCACTGGCACTTTTCTCCCATTCCCTATGGGTCAGTCCTCTTGTAAAATGTTGCTACAAGGCCTCCACAATCCCTTCTGCACTTCTAATAGTCCCCCTGGCCCGCACTACTCCAAAGGCTTGGGCCTCCTCAGTATTGGTGGCCCTCACCTACCACCCAACACCAGTGCCTCCTTGATCATTCTCCAAGGTCTTGGGGCTTATCCTGGAGCCCCAATCCTCCAAACTTCAGGGCCTTTCCCACACACCATATTCTGAGGGTGTACAGTAACGCAACCCCCCACCCTGGGGCCACAAGCTTTCACTCTTGACCTGCCCAGGGCCTTGTCCAGGCAAAGACTCAGCCTACCACCCCCATCCCCCGGCCTCCTCGTGGAACTCCCCTCCCCCGACTCCAAGGCCCAGAGCCTCCTGTCCTGCCACCTCCCCCCCCCCCCCCCCCCGGCTTCTCCCACGGGGCCTGGCCGGCATCTCGCCCCACTTCAGCCTGGCTCTGAACCCCACCCCCTCACACCACTAGTTTGTCAGGCCTGGGGCCTCCTTGTCCCTGATGAAACCAGGCCTTCGTCGCAGAGTCCTCACTTTTCCCTTTCTCTCTGGACCGCCAGTCCTCACGCGGTCAAACCATTAGCCCCTCAGCTGCCAGGCCGGGGCGGCAGGACCCACGCCACAGCCCGGCCTCCCTGTGCCCGTCGGCTGCAGGCCTCCTCTCCCCGGCCTGCCTCCGGCCTCCCGGCCCGCAGCCCAGCTGGCACGCCCGCTCTTGCCGGCCACTCTCCTGGGCTGCTAGGCCTGGCCGCCCTCGGGCCCGAACCCCCATTCGCTCCCATTCGGACCGAGGCCTCCTCGGCGCCAAGCGCCCTTCACACTCCGGCCCGGACCCCTTCGCTGTCGCCCGGTCTGGGGCCTCCCGGGCCCACCTTGCTGGTCCGCGGTGCGAGCCCTCCGCGCTGCCGAACCGCTCCAGGGCCCTGCACCCGCTTTCGGCCCTTTCTTGCCGCTCTGGCCCAGCCGAGCGGCCTCCGATGCTTGCCGCCCAGCCAGTCGGTCAGTGGCCCGGAGAAGCGAGGCCCGGGTAGTCAGACAGGCCGCGGGCCGCGAGCCTTTCTGCCGCTCCTACAACCCTTCCCTAGCTCTCCATCCGCAGCCCCGCCTCCGCCCGGCGACTTGTCCTCCGGAGCCCCAGCACAGCAGTGTATCCAGCGGACAAGGGAGGCCCCGGGCCGTCCGTCAGCTTAGGTGGGCCGGGCCCGGCCTCCTTGCCTCGGGCCGGGCCCTGCCAACCTCGGCCCCTGCCCCGGGGCAGCGGGGCTATCCCTGCCTGTCACTTCCACATCAAGACGCTGCAGCCTGGCCCAGCAGTGTCGGTTCGGTGCCCGCGGCTCCAGTCCGCCAACCCAGCCTCGGCCGCCCGGGCCCTGCCTGCCGAACCTCGGACCAGGCCTCCTGGCCTTGCCCCCTGGACCCCCCAGCCAGGCCGCGGTGCGAGTCTACTTGCTCATCTGGCCTTGGTCTTTACTCTATACAGCACTGACAGTCACAGAATTCATGCTCCGATCCAACAGTTCGACTTCCAGTGCCCCGGGCTGGGCCTTGCCTTGGGCCTCTCGGCCTCGCCCCCACCGAGCCCCCTGGCTGCTGGGCCGCCCCCGCTCGTTGCCAGAGGTAGCCCCTCACCCCGCGACTTACCCCACACCCCGCTCTCCAGAACCCCCATATGGGCGCTCACTGCCCGCCCGCACAGCTCGAACAGGGCGGGGGGAGCGCTGGGGCCCGAGGCCGAGCTCTTCGCTGGCGCCGCCTCCCGGGACGTGGCCTCCATGGTCGTTGCCGCCGCTACCTCACAGAACCAGCAACTCCGGGCGCGCCAGGCCTCGGGTGCCGCCATCTTGGGGAGGTGCGCGAGCCCGGGGGTGGCGCTCGCGGACCGCCATCTTGAAAAGGTCCGCAGTTAGGACGGCTCCATAAGCGATATGGGGAAGTATAGGAAGTGTGCTGAAGGTTTATTGAGCACATTAAATGTTTTTCAAGTCTCTAAGATGCTAATACTTTAAACACAATCTTAAGTCATTATATACTTGGGTCTGGAGTGCCTACAGGAAAGTTTCTTCGCAAAGCTTCCTCAGGTGCAAATACCAGCTCCCCCTACCTCCTGCCTCTAGCAGGTAGTACATGCCAATCCGAGGGGGTGTTCGAGACTGGGACGAGTGTGCCGCACTTCCGGCCAGGTCGCCGGATATCCGCCGAGTGACCCTTACTGGTCCTTTTTGATCCTGAAGTGGAATAGGTGCCGCTGTAGCTGCTAGTGTTGAGTCCAGGAACGTGGCCGGACATGGGACTGGAAGACGAGCAAAAGATGCTGACTGGATCCGGAGATCCTAAAGAGGTAAGGCAAGGCAGTCGATTCAACCTTGTTCACTGCCCTGAGGCCCAGGACCGAACCCGCCAGAACGTGCCCCTGTGCCCTCCTAATCCGGGTTTGCGGCCTGGGGTTTCCAGGGTCAGAGAGTTGGTTCCCGGTACTCTTCTCCAGAATTGGTCCAGTGACTTTGGGTAGTTAGGCAAGTAGTACTTCTCTGAGCCTCGGTTTCTCCATTCTATGAATGTGGTGAAGGTTTAACGAAAGAGAAAATGCTTACCGACTAAACTTTGGTACAAGTAGTACAGTATTTGTGTTTTCAGTCAGTCAGGTGTTCTGAGGCCCTGGTTTGAGAGGTTTGTGGCGCAGACCATCATTAGTCCTTGGCTCAGCTCAGGTCAGGAATCACACATCCGTGGAGGTTACTGAGTGCTTTATATATATTAATTCACGATGTTCCTGTGAGGTATTGGGTGTTATTATTATTGTTGCCATTTTTGCAGCACCGAGCACAGAGAAGTTAAATATCTGAACACATTCGGCTCATAAAATGGTTTGGCCCAGGCAACATGGTTCTCAGGACTCCTACCCACGGTGCTGCACAGCTGTCAAAGCTACTAGTTTTTTGTTTACAGTCTCATTTCCTATATACTCATTTGTCCCCTGCTCACTTCTTGGCAGCCATTCTGGGCTTATGAGTTGAGAAAAGTTGAATCTCATTTGTCCCTTGATTTTTTCTAGTCTTATATAAATTTTCAAAAAGAAATGGAGTCAGCCACAGAAAGTTCAACAAAGGCCTACCACAGCAGAAACGCGCGCACACACACACACTGAAAATAAACTGTCAGTTTTAAAATTAAGAGACTGGGATATTTCCTGAAGGACTCATAATTCCTGGGGATTAAGTCTTTTCATTCAATGTGAACTTGGTTTTTCTCAGTTGGAAATTTTACATCCTCCTCTCTAATCCCAGCAGCTGGGAGCTGAGGCAGGAGGATCACCAGGGTTTGTGGTCCAGCCTTATATTTGAATTTATAACACAAAATGATTAGTTTTGTAGTATTGCTAGTAGGGAAATGATATAAAGGATACTAATTTCTGGTTTCTTACCTCAGGCAGAATGTGATTTTAGTGTTCTGTGGGGGTTTTTTGGGGGGGGGGAGTAGTGTTGGACACTGAACCCAGGGCCTCAAACATGCTAAGCACATGCTTTACCACTGAGTTATGCTCCCAGTCCTGCTTTTAGTGTTTTTGGGGAAACATTTTCACTATGACTTTTTAATGAATTCTTTAAAAAGTTTTAATAGAAAGCTTGTTTAATGAAAAACTAGAATTTACATCCTAAATTGGGCTGGGGATTTAGCTCAGTGGCACTGCGCCTACCTCAGAAAAGCAAGGTCCTGAGTTGGATCCCCAGTACCGAAAAAACAAAAAACCACTACATCCTAAATAGCATCTTCATGATTAGGAGAAACCTTTACCAATTGTTAGAATAAGTAGCTGGGGTTGGAGTTGAACCTACCCTACCCTTCACTTCCAGCTTGTGTGCAAGCTGGTCCCTTTCCTGATGGTAGAGAATGAAACATTGTGTGGGATTTTGAAAACAGTGATTGTTGAGCTTGTTCTTTTTATTTCCCTATATACCTTTTCTTTCTCTTCCCCTATGTGGATACCTGCATGCATAGGCAGGCAAACACCTTATTTCTGACAGATTGTTGAGATACTGATCAGGCTTCCCTATTCCCCATATTTAAGCCTATGCTGATGCTTCTATGGGGAATTTTTTTAATACTGTTCCCTGTGGAAGAAAGGAGATTAAATTGAGATTGTGCATTTGAATCAAAAGTAAATATGTAGGGCCTGATGTTTCCAAGCTCATGAGTGGAGTTGTCTACGTAGACCTTTGGTATACTTACTCATGTATTGATCTACAAGCCAGAAAGCAGTGGTCATAATTTACATTTGATCTTGTCCAAAAGCCCAAGAAGTGGTCATAACCATCTTTAGTTAAGCTCTAGCTAAAGAAGAGTTTAGGTTTGGCCATTTTCATATTGCAAATTCAAGTTCAGAGTCTAGAAAAAATCATTTTTTCCCCTCAACTTGGTTTGGGAAATAAAGGCTAATTTTAGTTATTTCTAACAATACTGGACTTAACTAAAGTCTAAAACAAAATACTTTAAGCTCAATTGGTCCCATATGAATATCTGACAGCTTGAATGTATATGAGAAAATGTCTAACTACTGTTTGTTACACCTAAACCAAGATTATTCCCTTAAGGGGCTATTACAGTTAATCAAATCATAACAGATGTGAAGGTGCTTTATAAATTGTAGACTGTCACCAGGCATGGTGACACATATTTGTAATTTTAGTGCTTGAGAGGCTGAGATAGGAGGATTGCAAGTTCTAGGCCAGCCTGGGAAATTTAGCAAGACTTCTCAAAAATAAAGCCAAGCAGGCCGGGGATTTACCTCAGTGGGTCCGCCACCTACCTCAAAAGTGCAAGGTCCCAAGTTTGATCCCCGGTACCAAAAAAAAAAACCAAGCATGGTGATGCAAGTTTGTAATCCGAGCTACTCAGGAGCCTGAGGCTAGTTTAAGCAGCTTAGTGAGATCCCGTCTCAAAAAAAATTTAAAAGACTAGGGATGTATCTCAGTGTAAAGGCCCTGGGTTCAGTGCTCAGTGCTGCAAAAATAAATGATCTATAAGGCTAGGGATGTACCTCAGCAGCAGAGCACTTACCTAGCAAAAGAAAGGCCGGAGGACACAGCCCAGCACAGCCCATGATGCTTGCCTAACATGTGCAAGGCTCTGAGTTAGATCCCCAGCCTTGCAAAAAACAAAACTATAGATTGCCATAAGTTCTTGCTTATGAAAGTAAGACGACAGTGCTCTTTTTGAAATATTCTTGGGGTGTATCAGGTATCGTAAGTTGACAGACAACTGCCTTTGAAAGAACTTTACTACTTAAGAGCTTCTGAGAGCATGCCACACAATGCAGGGCTATTTGGGAAAGTGAGCAGAAGAAATCAGAAAGCTTAGCTCAAAGTCTTGGTTTCTGGGGGAAGACATGGCTGAAGCAGGGTAGGCAAGCTCAGTCAAATTTAGTGTTAGACAGTTTGAGTAATTTGATGCACTTTATTCTGTAGGGTGTGTCCATAGTTTTCATGTGTTTATCCCTGGGGTACCATTTAGGCAAAGGGAAATATGAATTTGGTATATTATGAGACTTACATAAAAGAAGTTGTTGGCCACACGGGCTTTGGATTGATTATATTGCATATGAAAGGTGGGCTCCCAGGGAAGTTGTATGCTATCACTGATAGCTAGCTCTGCAGTATTAGCTCTGAGATGAATATGGCTACTAAGATGTCAAAATGTCATAAAATACAGAAAATAAAATGACATGATTAACATCTGTTCTCAATATTTGTAATACGAGAATGATTGGGAAAATGTGTCATAAAACTGCTGCTGACATTAATTTTGTTTTCTTTTTGAAGGAAGAAGAAGAAGAAGAGGAATTAGTGGTAAGAGCTGTCTCAGATTTGAAACAGTAAAAGCAAGAATTTTGAGCTTCATGAAACTAAGAGCATCTTAAGGAGTCTTTATTTGAGACCTTCAGAAAATGAGGGTGGGATAAGCTTTTAATACTTTCTAGCTGGGCATAGTGGTTCACACTTGAGTGGTTCACACTCAGGAGACTGAAGCGGGAGAATCATTCAGAGTTCGAGGCCAGCCTTAGCCACATAGCAGGACTTTGTCTCAAAAACAACAAAAAAAACCCCCAAAACTTCTGTGTAGTGAAATGTTTGGGTGAGAGTCTGGAAAGCTTCGTCAGTTCTGGGTTTGAGACTTCTTTAGCATACCAGGGAAGAGTATCTTGAGGGCCTGGTGATCCTTCATCTGGTGCTTTTGGTTTAACGAAGAACTCAGACTGGCACAGTGGCACACACCTGTAATCCCAACTACTTGTGAAGCTAAAGCAAGAGGACAGCAAGTTGGAGGCTAGCCTGGGCAATTTACCAAGACCTTGTCTCAAAATAGAAAAGGCCTGGGGCTGGGGATTTAGCTCAGGGGCACCATGCCTGCCTTGAAAGCACAAGGTCCTGAGTTTGATCCCCAGTACCAAAAAAAAAAAAAAAAAAAAAGAGCTGGGTATGTAGCTTAGTGGTAGAATGCTTGGCTAGCCAGTACTACCAAAAACAAAAAGAGAGAGAAAACTCTGGAAGGAACGTTTCTTAGATAGTCCTCAGTTAGCACTGCCTTTCCA